CATATACTCCTCCTCCTCCTCCTCTCCTCTTCCTCTTCCCTCTATACCTCATCCTCCATCATCCCCCTCTCTCCCTCCCTCCTTCCTTCCTTCCTATTCCCGGCTAAATCGATACTCCTTCACACTTGGGTCGAACATCACACTCGAGGGAGGAGGACCTTGGGCCTTGAAGACACACCGCCATGGTCGGCCTTGAGCTGGGACTTGAAGTGTGGAGAACGAAGGTCGACTTGTGGGCACCTGTCCAAGACGCCTACACACCGTGGGTGGTTATGTGGGTCAGATGATTCCCCGGTCCTAAGGAACCTTTTAGGACTGGAAACCATGATCCCATTAGTACTAGAACCCATGAACCAGAACCCATGAACCCCTCAATACTGGAACCCACGAACCAGAACCCATGAACCCCTCATCTGGAACCCATGAACCAGAACCCGCAAGACCCTCAATACTGGAACCCATGAACCCCTCAATACTGGAACCCGCAGACAGAACCCATAGACCTCAGTACTGGAACCCATGAACCAGAACCCATCAACCCCTCAATACTGGAACCGCAGACAGGAACCCGCCAGACCCATTAGTACTAGAATCCACCCGACAAGCTGCCAATAGCTATGTAAATTTGTGGATTACGATATGCAAATGCGTGAAGGAAGGAAGGAAGGAGATGTAGAAGGTAGGCTGAGGGAGTAGAAGGTAGATTGAGGGAATAGAAAGTAGATTGAGGGAGTAGAAGGTAGACTGAGAAGGTAGACTGAGGAGTAGAATGTGGAGTGAGGAGCAGAAGTTAGATTGAGGGAGTAGAAAGTAGATTAATTAGAAGGTAGAATGGGATAAGTAGAAGGTAGAGTGAGAAAGTAGATGGTAGATTGAGAGAGTAGAGGGAAGGTAGACAAGTAGATGTGAGGGGAAATAAATACAAAGCGAGATGATAGAGGGGAATGGGACATGCAGATGAGAGGTCAATAGTAGGACAGGAAGTGAGGGGAAAGGTGTGAGGAAGAGGGGAGAGAGGGAAGGAAGGAAGGAAACGGAGAGGTAAGGAAGAGAGGGGAGAGAGATGAGGAAAGGAGAGGAAGGAAGCGAGATGGAGGGAAAGAGAAGGGTGAAGCAGTACAGGAAGGAAAGGAGGTTAGAAGGGAGGGGAGGGAGAAGTGAGAAATGGGGGGAGAGGAAGAGGTGAGGAAAGGGAGGAAAAGAGGAAGGAGACGAGGGTGGGGGAGCCCTTACCCATGTGAAATGTTGGGGAGATATTGAGGAAATATTGTGGGAAATATTGAGGAGTATTGTGGGAAATATTGAGGAATATTGTGGGAAATATTAAGGACATGTTGGAGGAGGTATTGGAGAGTGTTGATGGGCGAGGCAGCGGAACTAATGGACAGATATAACGGCACATCTTGAGAGATTTTATGGCGCCTTCGATAAGATAATGGTTGTTGGTGGTGGTAAATCGGTGAGCTAATAGTGAATGAGGGCAAGTACGTGAAATACCAGAGAGAGAGAGGGAAGAGTGGGAGTGGGAAGAGTGGGAGGGGGCAGAGGGAAGAGTGGGAGGGGGCAGAGAGAGAGAGAGGGAAGTAGGTCAAAGTTGGGTTAGGTTTGTATTTCTTAGGATAAATTGTGATGTCAAATAAACTGTGATATTTCTCGTGGAAGTTAGGTCAGGCGGAGGTCAGGTCAGGCGGAGGTCAGGTCAAGCGGAGGTCAGGTCAAGCGGAGGTCAGGTCAGGGGAGATAATGGTAGGTATCGCACAAGAGGACGCCGTGTACTGCCGTGAGTAATGTGAAGATAAACGCACATTATGGCGGCTCGTTATACTCTTATGTCTCCCTGATATTTTAAGTTTTATCGCACCTTAACTTATCCCAGCCGGAGTTCCTTGCCGTAATTCTTATATCTGAATGTGTGTAATAATAATAATAATAAACGGTTTATTAATAGAGTTGCAGCCAGTGGCTGAAAATATACAGACTTACATTTGATTTTGACATAATGATATAATATGCAGTGAATACATTTACAGAGCTGTACAGTACATAAATCAGGAGTTGTTTATTATTTTAACAATAGATGGGATGGTGCTGTTCTTATATCTATCGGTGCGGGCTCTTATGGGCTGAATTTTGTTGTAGTGGCGGACTGCGCGAGTTGGGTGGGGGTCTGCAGGAGGTGGCGATGGCGAGGGTGGTGCAGTAGTCCACGGCCAAACCTTTCCAGTGCTTGGTGGTGGAGGTCACTGAGGGATGGCATTTCCAGGGTGGAGAGAGCGTTGGTGTAGCCGGAGTATTCTGCGCCGAGCATGATTCTGCAGGCCCTTTTCTGTACCTTCTCTAGCTGACGTTGTTGGGTGGAGTTGAGAGAAGACGACCAGGCTGGGGACGCATACGTTAGTTTGGGGAGAATAAAGGCGTTGTAGATGGTCCTCAGCTCTGGCGTGGGTGTCCCAAGTGACCTAAGTCTTCGTAGCATGTAGAGTCGGTACGAAGCTGCCTTGATTATGTTGTTTATATGGGCCTTCCAGTCCAGTTTGTGGTTTATAGTTACACCCAGGAGTTTGGCAGACTGCACTAACTGGAGAGGATGGGCACCCACTGTGACTGCTGGAGCTTGCACTGGAGTGGTGGCGGTATTGATGCGCATGACTACGGTTTTGGTGTGGTTGATGGTGACCTTGTTCTCCGTAGTCCATGCCTGTAGCCTGTCCAAGGTGCCTTGTAGCGGTGAGTAGTCTGGTGAGGTGTTGTCCACTGAAACCCCCACAGTGCAGTCATCCACGTACTTCCACCTGTGAGGAGTGCCCGACAGAGCGCCGTTGATCAGGATGAGGAAGCACAGTGTGTGTGCGTGTGTATGTGTGTGTGCGTGTGTGTGTGTGTGTGCGTGTGTGTGTGTGTGTGTGATTTGTTTCCTTTAAAAAAATCACTTATTCTCCTGCGATAGACAGATGGTATATAATAGATAGTTAGATAGAATAGATAGATAGATAAATAGATAGATAGATAGATCGATATTTAGGAAACTCGTCACACAAGTTAACATTAATATTACCTACCTGTTATTAACCGGAGCTAATTTGCATACCGTACCGCACCTGTGGTTGTGCGGAGTTATTTACCTCTAGTGACCAGATTTTTTCAATATTTTCTCTATTTTGTGATTTATCGCTCGTTCCTGTGTACTGTATGTGATTTGTTATTGTTCGTGGATGGTTATTTATTGTTTGTTATGTTATTTAATGTAGTTTATCAGCTTGGTTGTGAGTTAGTCTGGTTGTTAGTTAGTATGGTCGTTAGTACGGTCGTCAGCTGGTACGGTCGTCAGCTGGTATGGTCGTCAGCTATCATGGTCGTCAGCAGGGGTGGTCAGGGAGGATGGTAGTGTGGTCACCATAGTTCCACCCAAATTAATGGACCTGCTACCTATCTCACCTTCAAACTGCAAAAAAATATCAAATTAATGGTTACCTGGTGCTGTTTGGAAGGAAGGAATGAGGGAATGAAAGAAGGATGGATGGAATGAAGGAACGAATGAAATAAGGAAGGAAGGAAGGAAGGAAGGAAGGAAGGAGATTAACAGTGATCTAAGTTTGCTCGCAACTGAGAGAAACTAAATTATGTAAATATCTTGTGTAACTCCTTCCTGACTTCAACTTGGAAAAGCTCATCCACCGGTTTGGGAAGAGTCAAGGAAATATGTTATATCAGTGAGGGGATTATAACACACACACACACACACACACACACACACACACACACACACACACACACGGGGACAGATATAATTATGATAATGCCACTTCAGCGTTAGTGACCGGTCGGCTAAATTACTAGGATCTGCGAGTGGTGGTGGTGACAGTGGCGGTGATAGTGGTTACGGTGGTGGTTTTGTTGGTGTGGTGGTTGTGGTGTGATAGTGGTAGTTGTGTTGGTGTGGTGGTGGTGGTGACGGTGAAGGTGGTGGTGATAGTGGTAGTGTGGTGATTCTGGTGGTAGTTGTGGTGGTGGGTAATGGTAGGAACGTTATGGTGGTATTCTCTCTCGACGATTTCTTTAAGAATATGACAATAGACCCCTCCCCTACACCCCCACTGTCCTTGTGGTGAGTGATTGTGGTAAGGTACTAGCGGTAGTAGAATGCTTCAAGTATAAAAGTACCACAATAGGACCTTCACCCCATCACCCTCACCACCCCCTATCCTCCCCTCCCATACCCCCACCCCTGAAATCTACCATTTACCCTTGCATGGTGAGAGGAGTCGAAGGGGGATGGGGGGGAGAAGGAAGTAAAAATAAGCAAGATGGAGCAGGTGGAAGAGGAAGGGTAAGCCAAGGAGGAGGTAGAGGAAGGGTAAGCCAAGGAGGAGGTAGAGGAAGGGTAAGCCAAGGAGGAGGTAGAGGAAGGGTAAGCCAAGGAGGAGGTAGAGGAAGGGTAAGCCAAGGAGGAGGTAGAGGAAGAGAGGTTAATATATTACTTATCCTTACTCCTCTTCCTCTTTATTCTACTTTTTCTAACAGACGAGAATTTAAGCAAAGAAGAAGAAGAAGAATATGGATGAAGAGTAAGGAGAAGGAAAACATGGAATCGTCCTCTTCCCTCTCCTCATCTTCAAGGATTATGGAGGAAGAAGAGGATTAAGGAGGAGGGGGGAAACAAGAATGATAGCTATATACGAAGAACGAGGAGGAGGAGGAGAAGGAGGAGGGAAAACAACAAGGAATAGATAGGAGGAGGAACAGAAAAACTTGAAGAAGGAAAGGGAAAATAAATGAAAGGAAAATCAACAACGAGGTACAAGAAGAATTAAGTAGGAGAAATGCAAGAAAGGGAGAAGGAAGGAGGAAAATGGCAATATGGAAAGACAATGAAAAGGAAGACTTGAGGAATGAAGAAGTTGCCGAGAGGAAGAATTGTACACGATGACGTAATGTTGTGGGCGTTCCTCTTAAGTGTATCTGTTCCAGGGGCTCTTGAAGTGTATCTGATCCAGGGGCTCTTAAGTGTATCTGTTCCAGGGGCTCTTGAAGTGTATCTGTTCCAGGGGCTCTTGAAGTGTATCTGTTCCAGGGGCTCTTGAAGTGTATCTGTTCCAGGGGCTCTTGAAGTGTATCTGAGGGCTCTTGAAGTGTATCTGTTCAGGGGCTCTTGAAGTGTATCTGATCAGGGGCTTAGTATCTGTTCAAGGGCTCTTGAAGTGTATCTGTTCAAGGGCTCTTGAAGTGTATCTGTTCAGGGGCTCTTGAAGTGTATCTGTTCCAGGGGCTCTTGAAGTGTATCTGTTCCAGGGGCTCTTGAAGTATCTGTTCAGGGGCTCTTGAAGTGTATCTGTTCAGGGGCTCTTAAGTGTGTATCTGTTCAGGGGCTCTTGAAGTGTATCTGTTCTGGGCTCTTGAAGTGTATCTGTTCAGGGGCTCTTGAAGTGTATCTGTTCAGGGTGAAGTGTATCTGTTCAGGGGCTCTTGAAGTGTATCTGTTCCAGGGGCTCTTGAAGTGTATCTGTTCAGGGGCTCTTGAGTATCTGTTCAGGGGCTCTTGAAGTGTATCTGTTCCAGGGGCTCTTGAAGTGTATCTGTTCAGGGGCTCTTAAGTGTATCTCCAGGGGCTCTTGAAGTGTTATCAGGGGCTCTTGAAGTGTATCTGTTCTAGGGGCTCTTGAAGTGTATCTGTTCAGGCTTTGAGAGTGTATCTGTTCAGGGCTCTTGAAGTGTATCTGTTCCAGGGGCTCTTGAAGTGTATCTGTTCCAGGGGCTCTTAAGATGTATCTGTTCAGGGGCTCTTGAAGTGTATCTGTTCCAGGGGCTCTTGATGTATCTGTTCAGGGGCTCTTGAAGTGTATCTGTTCCAGGGGCTCTTAAGTGTATCTGTTCCAGGCTCTTGAAGTGTATCTGTTCTAGGGCTCTTGAAGTGTATCTGTTCAGGGGGCTCTTGAAGTGTATCTGTTCAAGGCTCTTGAAGTATGTTCGGGCTCTTGAAGTGTATCTGTTCAGGGGCTCTTGAAGTATCTGTTCAGGGGCTCTTGAAGTGTATCTGTTCAGGGGCTCTTGAAGTGTATCTGTTCCCAGGCTCTTAAGTGTATCTGTTCAGGGGCTCTTGAGTGTATCTGTTCAGGGCTCTTGAAGTGTATCTGTTCAGGGGCTCTTGAAGTGTATCTGTTCAGGGCTCTTGAAGTGTATCTGTTCAGGGCTCTTGAAGTGTATCTGTTCGAGGGGCTCTTGAAGTGTATCTGTTCGAGGCTCTTGAAGTGTATCTGTTCAGGGGCTCTTGAAGTGTATCTGTTCCAGGGGCTCTTGAAGGTGTATCTGTTCAGGGGCTCTTGAAGTGTATCTGTTCCAGGGGCTCTTGAAGTGTATCTGTTCAGGGGCTCTTGAAGTGTATCTGTTCAGGGGCTCTTGAAGTGTATCTGTTCAGGGGGCTCTTGAAGTATCTGTTCAGGGGCTCTTGAAGTATCTGTTCAGGGGCTCTTGAAGTGTATCTGTTCAGGGGCTCTTGAAGTGTATCTGTTCAGGGGCTCTTGAAGTGTATCTGTTCCAGGGGGCTCTTGAAGTGTATCTGTTCAGGGGCTCTCTTAAGTGTGTATCGTTCAGGGGCTCTTGAAGTGTATCTGTTCTAGGGGCTCTTGAAGTGTATCTGTTCAGGGGCTCTTGAAGTGTATCTGTTCCAGGGGCTCTTGAAGTGTATCTGTTCTCAGGGGCTCTTGAAGTGTATCTGTTCCAGGGGCTCTTGCAGTATCTGTTCCAGGGGCTCTTGAAGTGTATCTGTTCAGGGGCTCTTGAAGTGTGTATCTTCAGGGCTCTCTAGTGTATCTGTTCAGGGGCTCTTGAAGTGTATCTGTTCCAGGGGCTCTTGAAGTGTATCTCCAGGGGCTCTTGAAGTGTATCTGTTCCAAGGGCTCTTGAAGTGTATCTGTTCAGGGGCTCTTGAAGTGTATCTGTTCAGGGGCTCTTGAGTGTATCTGTTCCAGGGGCTCTTGAAGTGTATCTGCTCCAGGGGCTCTTGAAGTGTATCTGTTCCAGGGGCTCTTGAAGTGTATCTGTTCTAGGGGCTCTTGAAGTGTATCTGTTCCAGGGGCTCTTGAAGTGTATCTGTTCCAGGGGCTCTTGAAGTGTATCTGTTCTAGGGAGTAGTCTCTGGTCAGATGGACCTTGATCCTGTTAACGCTTCAACTAAGATGATTCTGTTTTCTTTTAATGTGTGCCAGTTCTAATGGGTGCTAGTTCTAATGGGTGCCAGTCGTAATTTGTGCCAGTTCTAATGGATCCCTTTATAGGCCTTAGTCTAAATGTGTCCAAGTACTAACGTGAATACATGTATAGTCAGCGCCCCTCGCCTATGTGGCAATATGTGGGCTAACTCACCACCAGCAGCTGACCGACAGGTGTGTATGTGTGGCCTCCCCTGCTGTATAGTTAATTAGCCGTGCACAGGTGAGGCAGGTGTGTGAGGTTGGGTCTCATTGATCATGTTGACGTGGGAGGGAGAAGTGGGAACATTAATTCACTCTTCTCTTCTCCTCTCTTCTCTCGCTGTCTCCAAAAGTGTAAATTTACATAAACTTACTAAAAACTCAACAAACGAGTTTTCTTTCCATCATATTCTCTCAATATACTTTTCGTAATACCCCAATAAAAAAAATTTCCATTATAAAATCTTAATAAACGCTTCTTAATGCCTCTGCAAACTTTCCTACTCTCTACTTTCAACCAACGCTTCTTCATGCCTTAAAATAATAATAGTAAAAAAGTATGATTTCACCCTAACTTGAAGAATACGTATATATATTTTCGACTCTGTTATGAAAAGTTTAGTTGGGGGACTTTTTGAAAAGTTTGTGTAGGGAAATCCCCCAGTTTGTTGTGGTAAGTTTGTACCCTTTGGGGAGAAAACTACGTGTGTGTGTGGGGGAAATTTGCAAGTTTGGTAGTGTGTGTGTGGGGGAAATTTGCAAGTTTGGTAGGGGAGAAACATTTACAGATGTGTTAGGGAATTTTCTAATTGTGATGGAGGGGAAATTTACAAATACACTGTATATTGGGGAGAATTAACAAGATCTTTGGGGGAGGAGAGGGTTAAGATTAACAAGTTTGTGAGATTGGAATTTACAAGTTTTCCAGAGGGGGAATTTACGAGTTTGTGGGGAAATTTACAAGTTAGTGAAGCAAAGTTACTCCCCCCATCTCCCCTTCACCATTACATTTCCATTCCTTCACTCCCCTCACCATCCCCTCTCCCTCCTCTCCCATCTCCATCCCATTTCGCCCCATCATCCCTTTTCCCTTCCATCATTCCTTACTATCCCATCTCCCCCTACCATCCCATTTACCTTTCCCATCTATCACACTTACAGCGGCTCAGACGTCACTGGGACATTGGGATGGGATAGAATGGGATGGAAGAGCCGGGGAGGTGGTACTGACCGGCCCATAGAACAGCACTGAGGCGGAAAGATGTCGACTCTGCGTGGCCGGCTTAATAGAGGTTTGGGTGGCCGGATGTTTCGGGTTATGAAGCCGGAATTGCCATCCAGAGTACGAAGGGTGGGGGAGGAATGGAGGGAGAGAAGGAAGGAAGGAGGGAGGGAGGGAAAGAGGATGTACAAGGAATGAAGGAGGGTGTGGAAGGATGGATGGAGGGTGTATTGGGAGGGAAGGTGGGTGTGGAAGGATGGGTGGACGGTGTGGAAGGAGGGAGGGAGGGAGGGAGAGAGGGAAGGTATGGAGGGAAGGTGTGGAAGGAAGGTATGGAGGGAAGGTATGGAGGCAACTTTATAGTACATACACAAGTACGTATTTTTGTAGTTGTTAATTAATTTTACTTGTGTATATGAACAGGTGCCGTGTGTGTGTGTGTGTGTGTGTGTGTGTGTGTGTGTGTGTGTGTGTGTGTGTGTGTGTGTGTGTGTGTGTGTGTGTAAGCAAATTTATAACCCTAACCAGATGATAGGTTCAACCACCCCCAGCTGTTACGGTACTGTGGGAGTCTTTTAACCCCTATGTGTGTGTGTGTGTGTGTGTGTGTGTGTGTATATATATCTGTTTTTTATGCATTTGATTGTGTTTGTCCATATCAGTTTGAATCTCAGTTTGTGTATATGTCTATCAGTGTTCTATGGATAACTGTGTGTCTATCTGTCTGTCTGTTTGAGCGTCAACAATCACCTGGTCTAACACTAGAACCCCAAATACCTGTTGCTCATTACCGCCGCACCTGTCCTACACGGTGAGCGGACATTTGTCTTGGCCGCGGTTAGGTTAGGTTAGGTCAGGTCAGGTCAGGTCAGGTCCTACTCACCTATGGTTAAGGTAAGGTGAGCCTTCTGTACCAAGTCACCTGCCCAACCAATCACGTAAGCCATTGCTAGAGTAACTCCTGGCATAAGCTCTTCTGATTGGCTCTCTCTCACTGGTTGTGGATATGTACTGTATTGGCGTGTGACCTACAAACAGCATCAGATTAATGGATCAGCTTAAAAGGTATACAGAGTCCAAGCCAGGTAGATGCCAGGTTAGGTTACGTTAGGTTAGGGCACTGAAATAACCATGGAAACTAATGTGTGTGTGTGTGTGTGTGTGTGTGTGTGTGTGTGTGTGTGTGTGTGTGGAAGAACAAAAACATGAACAATAACAACAATAAACCCTCGGCCTAAGTGTCTCTTGTAAACAAAAAAATCGTCCGGTATTTAAAAATGGCCGACCACAACAAGAGCGGTTAGTAAACAAACACAAACACAAACGCGAGAGTTCTTCTACGTCGTGTTTGTCTGAGTTCTTTTGTTTACTTCAAGCGAGGAAGGTGTCTCTCTCTCTCTCTCTCTCTCTCTCTCTCTCTCTCTCTCTCTCTCTCTCTCTCTCTCTCTCTCTCTCTCTCTCTCGTCTTTTCCTTTACTCCTCCTTCCCTCCTCTCTCCTCTCTTAATCCCTATTCTACCTCCTTTCCTCTTCCTTCTCCCTCTTCGCTTCACCCCTCTCTATTTTCTTTCTCTGCTCTTCCCGCACCCTTTCACCTTCCCTTTCTTCCTCGTCCGATTCTTCCTTCTCTTCTTTCATTCTCTCCCGTTCACTGTCCTTTTCCTCCTCCCCAACTCTCTTCGTCTCCCCTCCTCTATATCCTCCTCCCTCTCACCAGCCCTCTCACTCAACACACTCTTTTTCCCTCTCCACCCTTTCCTTTTCTCTACCTTTCTTTTTCATTTTCCTCTCCTCCATCATCCCTCTCACTCTCTGTTCGTCTTCCTCACATCCCTCTCATTCTTCCTTTCTTCTTTCCTCCCCTCTCTCTCCCTCTTCCCTGTTTTCATCTCCTTCCATACCTTCCTTCCCTTAATTACAGGTGAGCGAGATAGCAGGTGTATCCACAAGGTTACCTGATGCTTGTTGGTGTAATGACCGTGTTATCTGTGTGTGTGTGTGTGTGTGTGTGTGTGTGTGTGTGTGTGTGTGTGTGTGTGTGTGTGTGTGTGTGTGTGTGTGTGTGTGTGTGCTCCCAATTCACTAGGGAAGATAGTGTTAAACCATCGCCCATACGTAAGAGGAGCACAGATGCGTTATTCCTCTGCTTCGTGTTGATGCCCACTGCCTTTTAGTACTATCTTACTTCTAACCCACGAGGGACAAGACAGTGCTAATCCTGAGGCACTTATGTAAGGGAGAGATATCGTCCATTTTCCACTATCTCATGATGGATCAGGGCGTCCAATTCACTAGGGGCAAGACAGTGGTAAGCCGTCGCTCTTATGCAGAAGGAATGGGACAGAGAGGGATATATGTCGTTTCTTGTTTTGTGAGGCTTACCGCCCTTTAGCCTTTGTTCGTTACCTGGGGATGATATATATCTGGTTGACCGCACTCTGCTTCAATCGTCTTGTTGTCCAGCGCCTATGTTATACGCCTTGTTGTGATGACACAGAGTCGGAGAGAGAGAGAGAGAGAGAGAGAGAGAGAGAGAGAGATAGAGAGAGAGAGAGCATCACCCTCACCACTTCCGCATTACCACCATCGTACCGTGACCCACCAATTACTATGTCTTAACTACCATCGCCAGTCACCGAACTCACGTCTTAAAAAGATTCGCCCTCTTCCTCCTCCTCCCCAAAAAAAACACTTTATTGCCTTACGTTATTTTTTGTTTATTTTTTTTTCCATTAGTTGGTGATGAGAGATTGAGTCACGTCACGGAATGAGTCTCTGTGTAATTTCGACGCCATGTTGCTTGTCAGTTACGGTTCGTCGTGGAAGGAAGGAGATGAGGTTATGTTCTGTGTGTTCATTTACGATAAAAATAAAGAGCACCTGAATATTAGACACCCCTGTTTAATTTACCAAGAGATTAGACACCCTAGTTTATTTTACCTGAGAATTAGACTCGCTAGTTTATTTTACCTGAATATTAACCACCCTATTTATACCAGGTTTGGTTAACTTTTGGTTGGTTATTCTTAGGGTAAATTAAACTAGGGTGTCTAATTCTCAGGTAAAATAAACTAGGGTATCTAATTCTCAGGTAAAATAAACTAGCGTGTCTTATTCTCAGGTAAAATAAACTAGGGTGTCTTATTCTTAGGTAAAATAAACTAGGGTGTCTAATTCTCAGATAAAATAAACTAGGGTGTCTAATTCTCAGATAAAATAAACTAGGGTGTCTAATTCTCAGGTAAAATAAACTAGGGTATCTAATCTACTGGAATAACATAGATATAATGCCTTTGAGAATATATCCTTTAGTCACAATTTAAGTGAGTCAGTCAGACGTGTTGTCAATTCCGCAGGTAAGTCTGTCTGTTACTGTTATTACCTGTTATTACTACAGCCCAGCCCTCTGATGGTGTAATTACCCATGTCTGTATGTTAGTTTATGCCTTAAGTGCATATTTGCCTTGATTGGTTGGCGAGGTAATAGTTATTGAGGGAGGGAGATGAGACACACACCTGTATCACACCTCTAGCTCACACACCTGTATCACACCTTTAGCTCACACACCTGTAACACACCTTTAGCTCACACACCTGTACTACACCTCTAGCTCACACATCTGTACTACACCTCTAGCTCACACACCTGTACTACACCCTTAGCTCACACACCTGTAACACACCTTTAGCTCATACACCTGTAACACACCTTTAGCTCACACACCTGTACTGTTACAAATTGGATTCATTTAATATTCAGGTGTTGTGTACGGGTTAGTCAGCTGTAGTAAAGTTGTGTGTCTGTGTGTGTGTCCAAACAACACACACACACACACACACGCACAACCCATCACAACCCAACACGCCTCCTAACACGCTCACCCATCACACTCAACACACGCAAACACACGTTCAATCCATCTCACTGAGACAAATCACCTCAGCGCTCTGCATTAAACCAACGTGCTTCATGTTGCCGGAGATATTGCCAGCGCTGGTTAGATACATCGCCCTGGGAAATAATGACCCCGTGTTATAAATCTGGGCGTGATCATTTCTCGGTCTGTGTCGGGGAGTTGCTTGATAGAGTTGAGATGGCGGGGGAGTGTAGTGTGTCGGGGTGGGGGAGTGTAGCGGGTCAGGGCGGGGAGGCAGTGGGGTCGGGGTGGGAGCTTAGGTGGGGTCGTGGGGTGGGAGGAGGTAGCAGCCGGGGTGGGGAGGCAGGGTCGGGGGGCGGGAGAAGTGAAGGGTCGGGTGGGAGGAGTGGATTGGGGCGGGGGGAGGTAGGTGGTTGGGCGGGGAGGCAGTGGATTGGGGTGGGGGAGGAAGTGGTCGGGGAGGAACAACGGGGTTATGGGAATTTGCTGGGGTGCGGTGGGGCGTGGCGTAGATAGGGCGGTGAAATGTGAGCGAGTTAAAGGCAAGAGTTGGCTACGTGATAACACAACCATCCACGTGACACAACCATCCACGTGACACAACCATCCACGTGACACAACCATCCACATGACACAACCATCCACGTGACACAACCATCCACGTGACACAACCATCCACATGACATGCCCATCCACATGATACAAACCATCCACATGACACAACCTTCCATTTACCACAACCATCCACATGACCCAACCATCCACATGACACAACCATCCACATGACACAACCATCCACATGACACAACCATCCACATGACACTACCTCCCATTTATCACAACCATCCACGTGACACAACCATCCACATGACACAATCTTCCATTTAACACAACCATCCACATGACACAACCATCCTCATGACACAACCATCCACATGACACAACCATCCACATGACCCAACCATCCACATGACACAACCATCCACATGACACAACCAGCCACATGACACAACCATCCACGTGACAGGTGGCGGTGGTGGTGGTGACGGCGATTACTGTCAGAGTATAAACAGTGTTAACCCACACAAATTATACCCAAATGTGTTGGTCTTGGTCCGTGTGGGTCATTTATACTGGTGGATGTGTGGATAGTTGGGTGGGTGAGTGGCTGGTGGTTGTGTGGATGGTTGGGTAGGTGGATGTGTGGGTATAGGGATGAGTGGGTGGGTGTGGGGATAGGTAGATGGATGATGGATGTACGAGTGTGTGTGGTTGTGTGGATGGATGGTTGGGTGTGGATGAGATGGTATATGTGGATGGGTGGGTGTGAGTGTGGCTTTATTCATACACTCATTTTACCTGTAAATTAAAAACACGTCACTAATTACTGTACTTTCTCTTTCAGGTAAGGTTCTTCACTACAGAGGCGTGCCCAGTGTGTGTAAGTAGGGATTTAAGTTACTTTATGAGTTTTAAGTAAATTCTATCTTATTATTCTTGACCTTTATTCATGATTTTTTTTATTTTCTTCCCTCTTCCTTCTTCTTCCCTCTTCTTTTTCCTTCTCTCTCCGTTCTTCCTTTCCTTCCCTTCTATCTTCTTTCTCCTCTTTCCTTCTCTTCTTCTATCCCCACCTTCCCTTTTCATTCGTCTCTCTCTCTCTCAACGGTACAGTATAACCCGGATCACAATACAGTATAACCCGGATCACGGTACAGTATAACCCGGATCACAGTACAGTATAACCCGGACCACGGTACAGTATAACCCGGATCACAGTACAGTATAACCCGGATCACGGTACAGTATAACCCGGACCACGGTACAGTATAACCCGGACCACGGTACAGTATAACCCGGACCACGGTACAGTATAACCTGGACCACGGTACAGTATAACCCGGATCACGGTACAGTATAACCTGGACCACGGTACAGTATAACCCGGATCACAGTACAGTATAACCCGGACCACGGTACAGTATAAACCGCTTTACAGTGAAGTGTTTGATAGGTACTGACGTCACTAAGCGGCTGAACATTTAGTACAACAAAATAAATGTTTACACA